AATCACCTGAATCAAACTTTGAAAGAAGAAATTTGCTTTTATGTCTACATTTAGAAACTAATTCATTCCTCTTATTTAATAAGTTGTCATTGGTGTAAGATATTATGAGATACTTTTCAAATAAACAAAGATTGCAACGTTTTACTGTGGGATTGTAAGATCTACAATGTTTTACAACTTTCCATTCAATTGTCAAGCTTAATCCACTTTCAAAAAAAAAGTCAAGAGAATCTCATACCAAATCCAGTTAATTTGTTCAACGATGTTTTCTCTATGTGTTCCTTTACCAAAAAAAAAATGTGCTTATTAATCTAAAAAATATATTGTGCTTATCTTACTAATTACGATAGATAAATTAACACATTGGCAAGTAAAGTAATTTTTTGTTTAGGCTTTTTTCCAGTCATACAACAAACTTTAGAATTTTTGCCTCATTTTGTTATCAAATGTTTTTTTCTAAATACTGTTACTGGAGCCTTGGATTAAACAAATCCAAATCCAAAATGGTTTCCTTGAAAGATTGAGTGAAGGATTTTCGATCTTTAGTTGTTAACTAAACTAAAACGTATTAGTGTGATTCAAAAATATATATACACATTTTTTCTTTGGCTATTATAGAAGCTCCAAGAAGACCGAATTGTTGCATCACAGAGCCAAATTGTTGCATCACAGAGCACTGCAGTGGAGCATTTAACTTAGAACTTTATGCTTCCCTCATGTTGAAAAAATACCTAGAGTAGATGGCGCAAACCCAAAATTTTTTATGTTTATACTTATGTTAAATAATGATGCTTTGCAAAATATTGCAATGATTGGAGGCTGGAAACTAAAAAAGCCCAAAAACTTTATCCCCCCTGCCCCAAACGTGAGAACAACAAGTTAGTAAAATAATTTTTTTGAAATTCTAAACTTTGTTTATATTCATTGATAAATTTTAGGTTTCATAGTAATATCTCTTAGAGTTATATCTTAGAGTTATATCCCTCCTCAATTTGAGGGAGTTACAAATATTTTATAGTCATAATTTTTGAATGCTTAAAGATTGTAAAACAATACTTAAAATTTATCGATGAATATAAACTTAGTTAAGAATACCAAAAAAATTATTTCATCAACTTGTTGCTTTCAGGTTTTGAGCAGGGGGATAAAATTTTAGGGCTTTTTTTTGTTCCCAGCCTCCAATCATTGCAACTTTTTAAAAACAACATTCGAAATAAGTATAAACATACCAATATTTCAAGTTTTGCACCATGCCTGTTAGCTATCTCAAACATAGCTTCTGAAGCATCTCCAAGCTCATCACATGCTCTACATTATCTTGAATAAATTTTACTGTAAGCACAGCAAAATTGAATTTTTTATTACGAAATATTTTTTTAAAACAAGAAATAAGTCATTGTTTTAAAAGATAAATATGCTACCCTACATTTTATTTTTAAAATAAATTTCTTAAACTATGTTTAATAGATTTACAATTTTGCTGTGAGTTCTGATATGTTGTTAGCAACTTTAAAAGATTTTAAAAGTTTTGGAATTCATTGTACCCAAAAAGTCTCAAGAAGTCTCATCCGTAGGCATTTTTTCAAACTACGACTTAGAATATCAAATATTAACCAGATGAAATATACAAATCAAGACCTAGTGGCTGGTCTTTATCAACAAAAACTGCATTCCAAAGGATTTCAGCTTTAATTCTATCCGTTTTTTCATTTTTTCAGATCTCCCTTTGTTTTTGAATACAGAACTTTTTACCATTTTTAGAATTTTATTTCTGCAGCAGGCTCTATATACATCTGCTAATAGTCTTGTTGATCTTAAAAATGTAAACTAAAAATAATGCAATGTAGATAAAATAAGATTTAAAATAGGGCCCTGCAAATCACCTGTTTTAATTTTGAATCAAACAACGATTTGAAGCAGGCCTTGATTCGCAAATCAAATTAAATCAAGAGTTCATTTGAGGAAATCTAAATTTAATTAAAACATAGGTATCCTCAAAATCCTGATTTGATTCAAGATTAGATTCGATTTGCGAAATAATGCCTGTTTCAATCACGGCAAATTCACTCAATATAAAAGCGAGCTTGACGTCACAAGAATTTTTGTGTTTAAAAAAAAAAAGAATTTCTGCATAAAAAGTATAAAAATTCATCAACTTTAAATTTTTTTTCTATAAACATTTTCATCTTTAAATTAAAAAAATATAAAAGAGCTATCTTTCTTTGTTAAATAAACATTTACATTAAACAAAATAAAAATAAACATTGTTAAAATATTTTAAATGATTTTGGATCACTTTTCTGTTTTTGGCGATTTTTATGGAAAACCTGACTTGGGCCAACTAAGATTCGCTAACATAGCTACATGGTTGATGGTCGAAATTTGAAACACTTATCAATGAATGTCTATTCTATCAGATTCCTACGCCATCCAGGTGATTTTTCTACTATAACTCAATTTTTAATACATTTATACTTTTAAATTTATCTCTTTTAAATGTAAAATATAGATTTTTTGATGGATGATGTAAGTTATTAAAATTTCAACCTTTTTTACAGATGAAATTATAAAAATTATTTTATGTGCCTCTTGCTATGTTAACGAATGTTTTTAAACTTGGCAAGTTTTACTACAAATCGTTTTAGTTTTACGCTGTTGACATTTCTAAGCGATGACATAAACTTTATTGTGTTACTTCCCGAGTTGTTTACTAAAGATTTTTATTGAAACATCTGTTTTGGCGAGACAAATTTTGGAGGTATAAAATAATCTAAGTTATGCAACCTTACACCATATTATTAAAAATGAATGCATATAAAGAAAGAAATTGCTGTTTTAGAAATCTTTAGCTTAAAATGACTAAATATTTCAAAATCAAAATCTGGTTCTATTTTGTAATGCATTGAATTTATTAACTTAATGAATTATTTTCATATTTAAAACATACTCAATTAACAGCTAATCTTCCTTTAAACGACATTTTTCATAATTTTGAAAAAAATGCGGTTTGCTTGCAGACTTCAATAAAAACTGTTTTAGTTAATCTTTAAAGTTTTTTTATTTTAATAATAAACAACGAGTCAAACAACGAGTGTATTTGATAACAACTATCAGAAATATATTTTTCTAATTTTCTTTTTGATGAAAAGTAACAACAAATTACAAAAATTTAGCCAAGTTCATTTGTCGCGTTTTTTATAAACTAAAAGAAGTTTTTTTATTATTGTATTAAATGTCGTATGATGAAACATTTTATTGTTGTTTTTATTCTTTTTACAAAACAAAATTGTCTCAAATATTTAAAAAATGATGAATGTTTTAGTAACACCCCCTAAGTAAAAAAAACAAACAAGAAGCCATAAAGCTCATTCTGAAACAGCCACGCAATTCAATACCAAAAAAGGTGATTCACAGGGCCCTAGTTTAAAATGATAACAGATAAATGAAAACAGATAAATACTTATTACATTTATTTTTGACAAGATAAAATCAAAGTACTATTTCTATTGATTTCATTTGTATTGTACTTCTACTGATTTTAAGAAAAGTCTGTCATTAGAAAAAAAAATTGATTTAGAGTTACTTTCTTTGTATTTTACATCTGATTTTAAACCATTGTTTTTAAACAATTTGTTATTTTATGACATAAATCATTCTTAAATAAGACTAAAATATCAAAACTTATGAAATTAAGTTTTACTTAAACCGCGATTCTTTGGAAAGAGAAATTTAGTCAGCCATTCTATTGACCTCTTTGAGTATTTTATTACTCAGAATAAAAATTTGCCTGATTTCAGAGAAATGCAACTTGAAGGCGTGTGAAACAGCTCCATTTTTGTTAATTTTTACCAAATGGTCTGATTTTTTTCCGCAAGTACACAATAATCTCTGCTCTTCTCAAAACTCTGTAAATAATATGTAAATAGTATGTAAATAATATTAAAATTAGAAACTTATTCATTTTGTTTTTGAAAAAAGATATTTTAAAATTAAACAGCTTTATCATTAGCTTACTTTTTTTTAACCCTTTATGGTTTTATGATATAAATAGTTTATTCCACAGTTCAACAGTTTAATTTTTGGCTAAAACTACATGAAGCTCTCTGACATGATGGCAGGAGGTTAACAAGAATAATAGTCAGCCAGGAAACTTAGCAAACCTTGTACAAACTCCTTTTAAACAGCAAGTGCTAAAAGTGGGTAAACTGTATAAGATAAAAAGCATCTAACAAATTTCTAACTGCTGTGTATTGGGCCTCAACGCTATCGTATTTAAAAACCATGTTTTTTTAATTTCATAACGAATTAGTGCGTTTTTAAAATACCACCAGTTAACAAAAATAATAGTAATAAAAATGTGCACACTCGGTATAAATAAAAAACCTTCCATTACTTGTAATGACATTATTATATAGTTAATGACTTGTAAACTTCACGCCAATTGTTTAAAAATGCCTGTAAAAACTCAAAAAAATGTTAAACTTTAAAAGAGTGGCGCGAGTATAAATAGTCATCTAAAATAAAAAATAAAAAAATTTCATTAAGAAAACAATACTGGGGAATATTTTACGACACTCCGCGTATTAAAATTTGTTCATGAGGGTCAAAATGGGATGGGCTAATATATATATATATATATATATATATATATATATATATATATATATATATATATATATATATATATATATATATATATTACAAATTAGGAAAAATGAGATCAGTAATAAATTGCTGACCTGAAACTGTTAAAGGTCAGAATCAGGTCAGCAGAAAAAATTGAGGCAAAGGGGTTATCATAAAACATAATAATGAGGTCAGCCTTTTTTGCTGTAATAAAAGTTCTTCAAATGCCCAAAATATCTATTTTTTGCTTGTTATAAAAGCAAAAAATGTCTTTTTATTATTCTTTTTTTTTTTTTTTTTTCTGTTTGTATTTAAATATACTTTTTTATTGATTATAATTCTTCTATAAAAATAATATAATAAAAATATCATACCTCCCCATAATGTCCATTTTAAACCCTGATTTGCTGCAAAAGATTCAGTGAACAGAAAATTAAAAACACTACCCTAAATATATTTAAAAAAACACCATAAATATAAAACAAATAAATATCTAGAAAAAAACAAAGCAACATTTTTTTGTTGCTAAGTCATAAAATAATTACCAGCCTGGAAAATGATAATGTGCAACCAAAAGCAAAAGCTAACTCTTTACCTTCAAACCAAAATGCTGATATTTTGCTCTGAGCAACTAAGGAAAAATTTTTTTACAATGAGCATTACTTTATTGACAGTCCTGTTGTTTTACTTACCTCTTTTTATTAATGAGTCAAGTTTTGGTAAGAAAAATTCAACATTAAAAAGATTTTATCTTAACATTTAAGCGACTTTCAAATAATTAAATTGTGTTAATAAATTTTGATTGTAGCTTTTAAAATGGTTTGCAGATAATATGATTGCTGTCATCATCATTATTCGGAACTTAAATGCTCTTTTAGAATTATAACTATAAATATCTTATTCTTAAAAGATTCAACTTATATTTCATTTCTTTTGTTACTTGCAAGTAATTTGCAATAATAACTTTTTTCACAAGTAACAATTAAATAATGTTGCTTTCACAAGATAAAATCAAAGTACTATTTCTATTGCTTTCATTTTTATTATATTTCTACTGATTGTAAGAAAAGTCTGTCATTAGAAAAAAAAAATAGAATTAACTGTCATCAGTGTTCTATTATTTCAAATTTTACATATTGAATTTTATTACACAATTTTTGTTGCAAGTTTTTCTTTTACTTTGTATGTTACACCATGGTAGTGGTACAGTGGTAGAGCGCTCGCTTCATAAATGAGAGGTTCTGAGTTCAATTCCCACCATGTCCCTAGTAGTACTGAGTTCAACTTGTCTCTCTGTGCAGCGGCCTTGTTTAACAAGGTTCATGTTTCGGAGCTATAGAGAGAGAGGGTTATAACCACAATTAAGTAGCCTCCTTATCTGTAGTGGCCTTCTCGGCCTTGGGGAGGTGAATAAGAATTAAAAAAAAATTAAAAATTAAAAAGTATTTATAAAAACAAAACTAAAGTTAAAATGCTATTAAAATGAAAAATAAAATTTCTAAACATGAACATTAAATTTTTAAAGTTTAAAGCAACTTAAATTTTAAAAAAATGCTGTCAACAATTCTTTCAAAGATACTTTAGAAAGTTTTTTTTTATTGATTTAGTTTGAACGGTTATAATGGATCCTGACAAAACCAACTAAGCTGAAACACAGAGAGTGTCACTTAAAATAAAAGATAGCATACACATTAAGATACCCTGTGATGCTGATGTGATGATTTTAAAATCTTGTTATTTTGTCCGCAAAAAAACATATTAAATTGAAAACAACTAATTTAAAAATTCTTATTTTAATGCTCAAATTGAGTGAAATTTTAACTTTATAATACGCCAATAAAGACACCTGTAGAATAAGAATTACTCTATACAACTTGATAAAATTTGGTGCAAAAATTTATTTTATGGCCATACCAAACTCTGGATATAAAATCAGTCTGATTGGTTACCTGGTTAAGGATTTAGTTTTTTGCTACTTATACCTCAAAATGTTATTAATAACTGTGATATTTGGTCACTATTTTTAAAATAATGGTTACATGAGTAATCATAATTTTCAGATGAGTAAAAATGTACCATTTTCATTTTATAGAGCACAATAATAATTTGCTATTTAAAGCGCAGTTTGACTTGGCTTATGCACAGTGTAACAATCTCAGCAATTTATAAGATACTGTCAAAATGCATTAAAAATGGTTGAAAAGATTTTCTAAGAATACCTACATAGAAATAAAAAATATTTATTTCTCTTAAAACAGAAAAACTATGAAAAAAAATATATTTTTTATATATTGACTGAGATAATTGACTTTAAAAATTGAGATAACTGAGATAAGTGACCACTAAAAAGTTTAGAGATCCAGCCAAAAAACAAAATTTAATCAAATTTTTACAAAATTTGTAAAATTTTTATCAAAAAAACAAAATTTTATTAAAAAAATTGTAAAAACTTAATAAAAATACTTGCAGAGGCACAAAAAAAATCAATCAAAAGAAAAAGTTATGAAGAGGAGAATAACTCTTTGAAGAGCAGTAAAAGTAGTTTTTTAGACTGTGTCATCAAATAAGATCTCATCTAAATTGTCATTAAGGGTAAAAATTATTATTATTTTAAATATTAATTTCCTTATAAGGAAAGAATTATTTTCTTGTGATTTAAGCAAATACTTTCTTGATTTTAATAATTTTCAATTAATAGTATTTCAAAGCATGTTAAGTTGATTATTATTAAATACAAATTAAGGTTAAACTTTGTAAAAGGCTGTGATTGATTTAATAAAGTTAGATTTAGTAAACTGTCAAAATGCCAAATCAAGCAAAGATTCACAATAAAAATCAAAGATTTTTTTAAAGCTGCAAGAAAAACATCCTCTCGAAGAGCACTAAGAAATGCCATAAAGAAAGAACCAAGGTTAAATTGCAGCTCCTTCCTCAGCCCTTTAGAAAACAATTTGCCCCACCAATGCTCTCAATATAAAATTCAGGGAAAACCTTCAATCTTTAGCAGCAAAAGTTTTTATTTATTTTGCGGCTAAAGATTTTTTTTTTTATTTCCATTTAAGAATTATCTTTGGAAGGAACTATTCAACTTGCTCAAGCATCCAGCAGGCCTCCACTTACAAATACCCCTGGTAAATATTTATACCAGGGGTATTTGTAATTATATAAATTATATAAATAATTATATAAATTTTGCAAGTCTTGACTATTAAAAAATGAGATTTTTGACAAGTTTCTAATCTCGTTTAAGACAAAGAATTTAAAATTTTTAAACGAACTTTATTATAAACATAAAATATGTATGTTTTGGTTTTAGGTCAAAGTGATGTCCAGCTACCACTCTAGACCTTGTAAATGTACAATTATATAACTGTCAAACAACAGATTCAAGAAACTTGGCAGAACTGTAAACCAAATATCAAGCAGCAAGATGGTAGAGCCAAATTTTCAAATAAATATTTAACAAGCAGGTTAATAATTGAGTGATTTCTTCACCTGCATTAATTAAAAATCGTTAATGGAAATGGAGGTTCAAGTACAGCTTGTGTTGTTGCTCACTGCGATAATTTATGTTATTCAATCGCGCAAAATTTAAGGTGGCTATTTTTTAAAGCTAGAAATTGACGGGTACAAAGTTAAATCCAAGTGTGTTGCCGAATTTAGAAACTTATGAACACTGGGCTCGATCAATTCAAGCCTTACATCTTTTCAATAACCTTGGGGGGAAGGAGGGAAGGAGGGGTTGTTACTAATGCAAAGCTGTTTGGCAGTGTCATTTGAAAGGCAATCGTCAGTGGGCTTGACAATAATCTGCTTTTGGAATTCAACTGCATTTGTTGAGACATAAGCGAAACAATAATCATCCAGTGTACAAAGAAAGACTGTTTTGTTGCATAATTGATCTGAACAGTAGGCATCTTTAAAGAACTGCTTGCATAATTTGAGTTATTAGAGATAGGCAGCAGAAATTCATAGCTTACGGTTTATAATGAAAATTTTCACCATCTTAAACCTTAAATGCTATTAGTTTAAAAACTATGAATTTTGTTATTACAAAATTTTTATAATCCCGAGTCTCTAAAGAATAAATTTTTATATTCTTGTCCACATTAACTTTCCTAAAAATTGATCAGAAAATAGAAATTTTTTGAATCTCACTTTTTGATCAGAAAATAAAATAATAATAATAAAAATAATAATAATGATAAAAAATAAAACCTTAAAACTAATGAAAATCAATTTATAATAAACATTTAGGAGGTAATAAAAACAAATAATTATACAAGATGCTATAAAAACAATAAGATTTAATTAAAATGTAAAAATTACTTTAGCTGAAACTAAAATTCTAATAATATTAGTAAATAACATAATTTAAATATAAATTTAAAATTATAAAACAATAACCTACTTGTTAAGGATCCATTTCCAGCACTACAAAATAAAAATTAAAAACAAATTATTTAAACTAAAAAAATAATTCTCAAAGTATTAGTACTGAAGAGGTAAGACTATTTGAAATATCAAAATACAAATTATCATTAAACAACAAAAAAAAAGAAAAGTAGAAAAAACCTTAAAGGTATATCACATATTCTACCCCTTAACGTTGAAAACTATACTTTTAAGGTAGAACATTAAAATGTGTTATTTCTTTTTTCTTTTTTTGTTTTGTTTTAAAATAACTTTTAAATAACTTTGTTTTAAAGTAACTTAAAATAATTTTTACATTTTTTTCAACACACAATTTTATATAAATAGCTGTGCTAGAGAATTATGAGTATTTAGTTTTATATATATATATATATATATATATATATATATATATATATATATATATATATATATATATATATATATATATATATATATATATATATATATATATATTTATATATATATATATATATATATATATATATATATATATATATATATATATATATATTTAAAAATATATATATATAAATTTAAAAGTATATATATATATATATATATATATATTTAAATTCCATATTTGTAATTTTTATTAAGAAAAAATAAGATCTAAAATAGCTGTTTAATCACCAGTGTTAATAGAGGGCAACAGAAGTTTGTTTTGTGTCTGTACATAGAGACCATTTGGCCCCATTTGTTTAGTAAGTTTGTGTTTTTTCAAAATATTATTTCAAATTTTTTATTTAAATTTTATAGCCTATTACACACACACAAGATGACAAATTTTGAAAATTTGTCATCTTGTGTGTGTGTAATAGGCTATATTAATATATATGTGTGTGTGTAATAGGCTATATAAATATGTGTGTGCCACACACACACACACACACACACACACACACACACACACACACACACACACACACACACAAATATATGTGTGCGTGTGTGTTTGTGTGTGTGTGTGTGTGTGTGTGTGTGTGTGTGTGTGTGTGTGTGTGTGTGTGTGTGTGTGTGTGTGTGTGTGTGTGTGTGTGGATGGCCAAATTATTAGGTACACAACTTTTGTAGTAATTTTAAAGAGTAAAACAAATACCTCATGTGGTAGCAGACAAAAACAGAATCGCTCATACCAGATGTAAATTTATTTGAAGAAATAAGTGGTTCATCTGATACATAGATAAATTTATTTATAATTGAATTGAATACTTGTTGTAAATCAAAAAAACACTTTTTTTTTTCATAACTTTTTTAGTTATGATAAAAAAGTGAATGGCAACTAACAAATAGTTCCTCAATAAAGTACAACTTAGTCAAACTCCGAAGGTTTGCAATGAAACTATTACTATAGAACTAGAAGCGAGTATTCGTCCAAGATAGGTGCAGCTCTTGCAAATTTGTAAAAAATGATGTTGATATCAATCACATCTCAATTAACAAGTTTAAGTTAAATAGGGCTAAATATAAAGTAAAAGTTCTTAGTGAAAATGTGGACTTGGAATAAAAAATTAGTTAATTTGATGTGAATGTTTATCAGATAACTAGAACAAGTATTATAACTTATATATATAACTTACCACAAGAAGAAGTACTAAAAAAAATATTGAACCTGAACATCACCTAACATTTACTCATGAAGGTAGTTTCCTATAAATTGTATTGCAAACTGATTTCTTTGCATGTAATGGTTCTCACTGTCATATAAATCCTGAACCTAAAATATTTTTCAGTCTAGTTCTTCAATGCATAGTCCATCCAATGATTGAACTTAGCTAAAAGCAACATAAGTTTGGCTGTGTAGACATCTGCTCTGTTTGGCTGTGATAGACATCTGCTCTGTCAATGGTGCATCTGTACATTTTGTTGAGGCCCGGCAGGGAATTAGTGGCAACTATCATTATATGATCATTAAAAAATTGCACTTTGTAGAAACTTAGATGGCTTTAGGTTCAATTAAATGAACTCCACCTTTAGAGTTCATTTAATTGAGGCATTAATTTGGCCCCAACAAATATTTCTAGCAATTATGACAAGCCTCCGGTTTTGTTGAGGTCTTATGGAACAATATTATCCATTTGTATATTACCCAGATTTGCTTGGGGAATCAACTTTTCTATTATGAGCTTTAATTTAATAAATCTTATTCTCAGGTAGTGTTGTTTAATAATGCAGGAGAATGGTAACTACATTGTCATGTGCATCTACTTGAGCTCTTGTTGTATAGATGCAAACAGCTTGGTCAATGACAAAGTCCTTTTGAATTGGCAATTTGAGAATTGTGGTTATTATATAATAGTCATATGACTGGAATTGTGGTTATTATATCATAGTTAAATGTAATATAGTCATCTAGTCATTTGTGACCAAGTCATATGTAGTTGTATGATATTGTTATATCATATAACATGTTATATCAGTCATATCACATAATCAGACAGTTATATGTTGAAGTTCAAGATAGCTATATTATAAGCTAGATTATAAGCATTCTTCAGCTGTCTATCTCGCTCTCTGAAAGTCTCCATATATCTGCTAGATTCTTTCACCTCATTTTGCACTGTCATTGTTGTTGTTTGCACCCTTCTTTTCACATCGCAAACTCAAGGTTGCACATTTTATCAAAATCATGAAAGTTTCCTACCTTCTTCTGTTTTAGCCGCCAATTTTTTTGATATTCAAGTTTTTAAGCTAGGCGCCTACTTCTACACTCTTTTGTTTTAGCCTCGATTTGACATCTCTTTAATTTTTTAGCAATTTAAGCTCATTTTTCAGCTGATTTTTCTGCTTTTGCTCAAGATTATAGTTCTCTTTCTCTACACTAGCTTCAGTGTTGAGCTTTTTTCATTTAATTTGTTTGTACTTTGATCCATTGTACTATTCCTATGTTGATAAGGAGTTTGGAAATGAAAGAAAAAGAAAAATGTTGTAATATAAAATTTTTTTATGTATTATTGAAAGATTGAAAAGATTTTATGCAAATTATTGAAGAATAAAAAATCTTATTACAGGCCTACAAAACTTTACGTGTAACGCATGGTAAAGTAACTCAACAAAGTTTACATATTTACATTAATAAAAGTTAAATTGTATCAATAATGCATTTTAAAGTATCGCATTGTAATTAAATTTAATTTTATTTTTAATTTTACATTTAAATTAAATTAAATTTGATTTTAAACCATTTAAAAATCTTTTACACGGTATAATTATAACAAATATTACTTAAGAAATCTAAACTAGGTATTTGAAAAAGATTTTCTTTTAATTTATTTTTCGAAACAAACTTATACAAAGCATAATAATCTTTTGTTTGCTTTATCACAATTTTTATTTTCTTTGTATAAGCATTATATATATATATATATATATATATATATATATATATATATATATATATATATATATATATATATATATATATATATATATATATATATATATATATATATATATATATATATATATATATATATATATATATATATATATATATATATATATTCATAATTTATGTTCATAAATAAAACTGTCAAAATAACTATTAGTGATATAAAATTATAAAAATTGAATTAATCACATTTGTGAAAAAAATTCTCTAAAATAAAAAAAGCTCCTTTTCTTGAATAAAAAATGAAATTTTTTTGGTTGCTTTCACACATCTATGATGAAGAAAGTGTTTTTACAAACTGCTAGTAAGCAAATACAATGAAAAAAACTTTAATTTCTTAAGTAAAAAAGTCGCAAGGATAAAAAGTAAAAAAGTCGCAATTTTAAATTTTTTCAAAAATTAAGCTTAAATCTTAAAATTTAACTTTTTTTTTAAATAAAAAACTTTTCAATTTAAAGTTTTTTTAACTAAAAGATTTTAAATTAAAAATGATGAAAAGTTTAAACTTAAAGCATTTTGTTTTTTATAATTCAGTGTGGAAATTAGGATAACTACAAACTCCAAAAAGTTAAGATAAAGTCATAAGCGAGTTAATAGTTATTGATAATGACTCTATGTAAAAAATAGTATAACTTATTTTTCTTAGTATTTTTGTGTACATTTTCCTGATTAAAGTACATAAAATTACACTTCTAATGATACCAAACACTGCGTTTTACAAATTCTATCCAGAGTAATTCCTTTTTCAATCTACTTCGACTACACTATTAAACAAGAATTATTACAAAATACTTTGTTAAATAAGCTGAATGGAACTTTAATAATTGAACCAAAAATTAAGAACAAAATTAAAAACAAATAGAAAAACAAAAATAAAGTTCTTATCAAACTTTTGTGAACATCAATTATGATTTATTATTTTATTATATATTTAATATGTTTCTTAAACTGAACAATCAACATAGAAATAACATGAAATACTAATTTGTAATTTTCCTTTATTTTCAGTAGAATTTCTTAGCTCAGTGTCAAAGATAAAATCCTGCATTCTGATATGTAAACATACTTAAAGTCAAAGTTTAAAGAAAACTTCATATAAAGTATAAAATTTTAAGAGTATGAGAGATTTGAAACCTTTTTTTAATACTTTTTGAAGACAGCTCTTTAAAATTCTTGATTGAATATTCTAAACCTAATTGTTGATAAAACTTAAAAAAAAAATTTAAGTTATATTTGAAACAAAAGTAATAACTATTGCTTGATAATTGAGCTTCAGTATTTAAATTGTTTTGTCATTTTTTAACTCAGTTTTAAATAAAATCACATGAAAGTAGCCAGTAGATAAAAATTATTTAAAAGAACTTTTATAGTATTTGTATCTGAATATAAATATTAAATTGATAATTTATTTTGATACTATATTGCAGTATACTATATTTCAAATTTTCTTGTTTAAATATATAAGAGGTATATGTATAAGTGATATGTATAAGTGATATTAAAAAAAAAAAAATCAAAATATGTCATTTCTAACCAGACATTTTTTACATAAGTAAGCTTTCTTTTTTAAATGATGCAAACTCTGTTTTTAAACATCACGAAAAAAATTTAACTTTTTGTAAATTTTGTATTTTAAATTAGGACTTTAACTTTTTTCGCAAAAGTTTTGAAGTTTGGGTTTCACACTTAAGCAAAACATTACAAAAAAAAATTTTAAGAATAAGCACCCTACAGCGCTAATAATATTGTAAAATAAATTTTTAATATTTAAATAATTTTATGATCATTTTTTTATTAATATAATTAATTTTATTTATAGATTTTCTCAAAAACATTGTTATATATTAATGGACTAATTATTTACGCATCAAATATTTATGGATTAATTATTTATGCACCAACTGTTTATGGATTTGTAACAGATGTAAAAGTTATTAAATGGATGTCAACAAAATATCTTTTTAAAAAAATGATTTACCCAAAAATGAGTCTACCAAGGAGAAACAACACAAACATAGCTTTTTTTCCTTTGAAAAAATATCCAGCTGCAAAGGTCATTGAACCAATTACACAAAGTGTTGAAAAAAACAATGCACCAACTAAAATTGGAAAAACAACATATCTTTTGTTAATGCATTATACATGCAAACATAACTATATTTATTTATTTCAACAAACTATATCAAAAAATAAAACTCTATTATTTCCAACTCTCTGAGTCACAGTTAAAACTTTTAGTTTTAAAACTTCATAAAAATATTTCATTTCACATAAGAAAAGCTTTACATTATAAACTTCAAAACTTTATTTTTATTTAACCAACAAAACTTTATGTAACTTAAACTGATTTTAGTTTCACTAAAAATTGCACTGATAAGTAATATTTTTTTTAATATTACTTTATCTACCTCCTCTTAATTTAAATCTTCTTCATTTATTTATTTGTTTACACAATGTTTATCTTAAGTAAAAATCAGTAGAAAAACCATTTCAAAAATAAATATGTCTTATAAAACTTGAGTTTAGCAATTCAAGTTTTAAAAGATATATTTATCTTTGAAATATTTTTTTATATATACATAAACTATGTTTGTGCATTCTACAAATAGAGTGTTCAATGTTCTTAAAGAACAGAGCAATAATAAATTAGTAAAAACACTTACCTAGTTTTTTTCTTTAACAAATTGTCTCATCAGGAAGAAAGCTTTGTAGGTTTATCAGGAAGAAAGCTTTCTTCCTGATGAACCTACTGACGGAGAAACAATTTGTTGAAGAAAAAACTAGATAAGTGTTTTTACTAATTTATTATTGCTCTGTTCTTTAAGAACATTGAACACTCTATTTGTAGAATACACAAAAAGTTTATATATATATATATATATATTATATATATATATATATATATATATATATATATATATATATATATATATATATATATATATATATATATATATATATATATATATATGTGTGTGTATATGTTTAATCATAATAATACCTTGTATTAAAAATATTTTAAAATGCAGCTGTTTAAACAAACTTGATATATATATATATATATATATATATATATATATATATATATATATATATATATATATATATATATATATATATATATATATATATATATATATATATATATATATACTATCATTACTATCATTTGATAAGCAAAGAATCCAATAGTCAAATGCTTGGCTTGGACATATATTTGCGAACCAATTCATCTTTCTGTCCTGAAATCAGGTTTGAACTCTCTGACTATTCTTTTATGTGCTTCCTGATGATGCTAAACTCCAATTTACTAAATCTTGTATCTTATCTCAGATGTTAGGTTCTAGATACTTTTGGAATATAATCATCAACAGTGTTATTAACAAGGGTAAGCCTAACATTCCATCATTAACAAATGGGTCTGACCTTATTACCTCTCCCTAGAATAATACAGAACTACTTGCAAAGAACTTTTTTTTAATTTGTCTTTTAAATTGAATGGCCACTCTTTTGTTAATCTATTAAACTGGAATGGCAGAAAAAGAGTCGTCATTTGATTCAAGAGGCTTACCCTTGTTAATAACACTACTGAAGATATTCCAAAAGTTGTTAGACATCCAAATCACTATAATCAACAAATTTCTAATAACTTACTCTATGACAATCATTAAAGATTTCTTTTTCTACAGCTGAAATGCTAACTGTTGTAATAAAAAGGTTTTATGGTACATTTGTTGAAGGCAGAAAGACAAGGGCTATGGCTTTTGAAATATCTAAAACTTTTGATAAAGTTTGGCACGCCAGTCTTTTCCATAAGCTCTCTTCATATGGTGTATCTGGAAAAGTTTTTGAGACTATTAAATCATTTCTTTCCATTTGCAGTACAATTCATCATCGAAAGCTAATACTCTTCTTTATTTCCAGTAACTTTTGGATACAACAAAATCCTATCCTTAGTCCTATGTTGTTTCTAATCTAAATTAACAATCTTCCTGACAAATTATATCTAAAGTGTCTCTATTTGCTGACAACTCAACTTTATAGTACTGTCTGTCAACTTTATAGTGATCAAAAAGTTATAGGTAGCTAATCTTGAATCTGATAAATCTGTAAATTTAACTGTAAACTATTATTAATGCAATTAATCATTTTATGGGGCATCATATTGAGCATATCTGCTAACTTGATTCTCAGATTGATTGGTTGCAATAGTAATAATTTACCAGTAAACTTACTGGTAAATATATCAAATTATCTTTTACCGAGCACAACCCCACTACTGGAAACCATATATACAGTATATTGCAGAATTAACATCTGCAAGGGTACCTCTTTTTATCAAGCTTGCAATTTTCTTTTTTCTAATTCCATCCTGTACCTATACAAATCTCTTATTCACCCCTTTCTGGAATATTGCTTTTAAAATTGGGCTGGTTCTTCTAATGATGATTTTCCTCTTCTAGAAAAAATCCAAAATCTGCCCAGCTCAAACCACTGTCTCACCATCTCATTCTCTTTCTAAAAATACTATCATAGTTGCTGCTTAAACAAACTACCATCTCTAGTTACATCAAACAAAACTTATTCTTGCTTGACTTGTCATTTAGAAAAGGTGCATCTTTTTAGTATGTCAGTCCCTTAATGCTCAAAAAACTTTTGTTCACTTGGTTTTTCCTTGCACATCAATGCTTTGGAACTCCTTCCCATCTTCATGTTTTCCTGGCTCATACAATCTTCATTTTTCAATTTTTTTGTCAACTGTATCCTTGCTCTTTAACAACATTTTTTGTTTTCTAGTAACTCCCATCTTAATAGTGGTTGCTTGTAACCTTGTAAATATACAAGTAGTACTGCTTGCAAAACTTGAAAAAATGAATAATAATTAAATGATTGAATTAAACAATAAATAAGAGGTCCTAGGTTACTGATATAGTATTTGAAACCTTCATTTGTAACAACTTGTAATCTGCTAAAAAGACTTATCTATTCAAAACCATGATTTTTTATTTCAAATGTTTTATTTCATTCTAAATTGTATTTATAATATTATAAACAATATTTTTAATAAATATTGTAAATAATATCTGAGAATGTTCTAGAGTATAGTAGGCACTTGACAAATTTGACAGGTTGAAAAACACACTAATAAATTATTCTTTTTTAATTTTTTTTAATTTACATATTTAATTTTTTTTTTCCTTTAAGTTTAAAAACAGGTCTTCATTTAAACTGCTTGCTTTTTTTTTTACTAAAACAGCATCCTGTATACCACTACTTTTATTCCCCCAAATAATAAATCACCTAACATTTTAATCAGTTTTGATAACTTTTTAGGCTACATGCTCTTAGTTACCGTTTAACATGTTCATAAAGATACACGTGTTCATAAAGTCACTAAATTTAATTCGCAAATTTAAATGCAAAGAAAATCCTTCAGAGCAAAGCAGAGGAGTTACAGAGACATTTTAAAAGAAAAAAAAAACCATCTTATTCTACAGGAAATTATTAGAATTTAAAGATTTATTTGTTGAGATTTTTACTTTTTAAACTTTCTTTTGTGTTTTTCTTAGCTTTGCATTTTCTTGAAAACTTAAAATGTGAAAACTTGATATTGGATAGAGTATTTGTTTTCAAATTTTCAGTATACATTCACAACATATATACACTCTTTTTAACCGTCAGAATTTTTTGTAAATCACCCTAAATACTGATTTATAGACCTAAATGTTTCAAAAGATCCCACAAAACTATTGAAAATGAATGGGTTCATCCTAAAAAGTTAATAACTTTTTTAATATATTGATTTAGGTAAAATCTGATGATTAAATGGAGTATCTAGATGTACTCTAGAATATCAGGCTTGGACAGGAATGGCGTGCGATCAGACTCTGTAACTGACCACGCTAATATTTTTTTTTCTTTACAACTGGACCACAGCTATTTTGATGTTTTAACAATTTAAATGCAATAAAAAAAAGTCTTACATTATGAATAACTTTTAATTGTTGATCTTTTCTAAAGTTTTTATTTTTTGCAAAGGCTTTAAACAAAACCACAAAAAATAATTATAATGATTGTTTACACAAACACATAAATTAATGTAATAATGTGTAAATTTAAAAAAATGTTATATATATATATATATATTTTAATGTAGGCATGTATTTTTTAATGATAAATTTAAATGTTTGAAACTATTTTTCAATGTCTTCCTAAAAATCTTCTAAAACATTATTTTTAAAAAGAATTTTTTAAATAAGTTCAAGACCATTTGTGGGTTTGAGCTTTTACACATTTTATGTAAATTGTACAAGAATATAAAATAACTTCATTTCCTTATATCTTGTTGATTAATGGAAAAGCTTTGAAGCATTTTGTAATTTTCATAAAATTAATTTTTATAATTAAACTTACATCTTTTAAAATCTTTTAAACAAACATTTTATTTTTTAAAGAAAACTTTTTTTTTATTCAATTACGATAGGAATGAATGAAGAATCTTTTGTAGTAATTTTTAAACTCGTTACTTAAAGCGCTCATTAATAAAGTTGTAATGCTCAAATTAAAATTAAATTAAGTTGCTTGTTGGAAGTTTATTTTATTTAAACCGCAGGTGCATTTTATTTATTTATTTTCCTGTTTTTACAAATAGTCTAAAACCTTTTTTTAATTAGACTTATTAAAAAATGAAATTATTAAAAATTACTATTTTAAAAAGACTACATTATTTTTTAAAATAATTTTTTTTTTTTGCAATTTTTTAATAATTTGTTAATTTATTAAACAATCTTTAGTACTAATTTGTTACTTAATTTAAAACCGTTTTGCGTAACGTTTAAAAAGATAAGTTTTAATAACATTTATTTCAAATGTAATTAAAAACGTAACAAAAAGTTTTGTTTAGAGCTTAAGTTTTTTAGTTTTTATTTTTAAGTGCTTATATAATTTTTTATTCGTAAGGAATTTTTTTGTTTCTTTTTTCGTTAGGATTTTTTTTTGTTAGTGTTTTTTTTCAACTTTCTTCCTAGTTTAAGTTTAGCTTAGGGTTTTTACATTCAACACATTTCTGAAATATTTTATTCATATAAACATATAAATAATCGTGGTCAAGTTGTCAAAAAATAAAGTCATTAGCGTGCTCAGTAATAGCGCTCGATCGCACGCCATTCCTGTCCAAGCCTGCTAGAATATCCTAAAAATTTAATTGAAAACAGATAAAGACAAATGGACTTTAGGCATTTTGAAATGTGATCAATTTTGATGATTTTGATCAAAAATAGAAATCAACTCAAAGAAACTATATAAACACTAAATATAGTAGATTACTTTTTATTCCTCAAAATCACCTTTTTTATATGACTACCACCTTAAGAATACATACTGCTGTATTAGACATTTTTTAGAATGGTTAACAGAAGATATCAACCCAAAATCATTACCATCTTTAAAGAATCCTAATAAACTTTAAGAAGTTTATAATACAATGGAGCATGGTAATGAATGGAAACTTTAAAAATAAAAATTTCTCAAAATACAATGGTATATAATAAAAATTAAGTAGAAAAGATAGATAAGAAATCAATAATGCAGTAGAAAATAAAAAGTTAAATAAGACTTTTTTAATATTATGAGGATACAGCAATTATCTACTAGCAACATAAGAATAATTGTCATAATTCTCAGTAAATTTTAACATAAAAATCTAACATAACTAAGGTAAGAAGTATGTTTTAATGTATACTATAACTAAAAGCCCAATTTTTAAATTTCAGTAAAAAACATCAATAAAAAAATGATATATATTAAGTACTTAAATTAGTAATAGAAATTAATGACAAAAAAAATACCTCTTTGACCAAATTTATCAATTAAAACACCAGCCCCAATCACAACAACAGCATTCCTTTAATTATAAGGAAAAAAAAATCTGAAAGAATATAAAATAGTAATAATATAATAAGTAAAAAAGAATTTATTATTTAATACAGTGCTGTGCGGGCCTGTGAGGCTATGCTGGAAATCCTGCATGGGCTTTTAATCTTACAGGAGTCTTTTGAATTCTTTAATTACCTGATTTAAAGTGTTAAGCTTTGAAAGTTAGTAAACTAGCATTTTGCAAAATAAAATGCATTATCTAACATCAGTCTCGATAATAATTTTAAAAATTATGCCACATAAATTATTAAAAAAAATAATTGATTTTCAAGTGTTAAAAAAATTTGGCTTGTAAAATTAAATAAATTTTTCAATTAAAAGCATTCTTAAAGCTATTTATTTTTAAATTTAATTATTACTTGTATCACGGACCACTTTATTATTTAATAGCTATGTAACCATGGAAACATACATGAAAACAAAAATATTTTGTATTGACAAGAAAACCATTTATGCTGTCAAAATATTTGCAAAATGATGTTAAATTAACATCATTTTGCAAATATTTTTCAACTCCTGATCATGATCATGCCAAAAGTAACCCAAAATTTTAACTGTTAATATTTTGGGTTACTAATAAACCACCTAACTGTTTTAATATATCTTTTACAAGTATTTGTGGTCTGCGAAGCAACCATCCATTAGTTGAATCTTACCTCTCACAAAATTTACCAGACTTACTTGCTCTTAGTGAGACTAATTTAAAATCTGCTATTCCATTTTCAGATCTCAATGTTGATAGGTATTATCTTTTTGATTTGCAAAGACTCCAACAGTCACTTTCTTGGTTTGGGGGTATACATACATCAATTTGTCTATTTGTTGTGAAATCAGGTTCAAATCTTTTGATCATTCTTTTATGTGCTTCCGCTTAGCACCTCTTCACTATATAACCTTTTTCTTTGTTCTTTCTTTCTCCTTCTTCCCAATACTGCACTCTTTTAGATGAAATTAACGAATAAACTCTTCTACGGCTTGTGGTCCAGACAATATTCCTGTCATAGCCTTAAAAATTGTTCTCCAGAACTCTCTTCAGTTCTCTTTAAATTATTTAATAAGTGCTTGACTGAGTCTTGTTTTCCTGCCAACTGGAAAATGGCATCTGTTGTTCCAATTTTTAAAAACTTCAAAGAACAAATTTCTCACATCCCATCTTGATTCAAATAACTTATTGTCAAATAACCAATATGGTTTTCAATCCTTCTCGTTGCTATGACTAAAAGATTTTATCATGCATTAGATGGAGGCAGAGAGGCTATGGCTATTGCATTTAAACATATTTAAAGCTTTTGACAAAGTTTGGCATGTTGGTCTTCATCATAAACTGGCTTCATATTGTAGATCCGGAAAAGTTTTTGAGATTATCAAATTATTTCTTTCTAACTGCTTTAAAGTCATCCACCAGGCCAACACTTTTCTTCATTTTCAATAACTTCTGGGGTACCTCAAGGTTCTATCCTTGGTCCTGTATTGCTTCTTATCTACATTAATGGTCTTCCCAACAACCTTACATATAAAGTAGCTCTTTTTGCTGATCAACTTTATACTCCTGTCTTTTCACCTGCTTAGAACAGACAGCTAATCTTGAATCTGATCACACTTCTGTAACAGATTGAGGCTTGCAGTGGCTTGTTAATTTTAACTCCAACAAAACTCAGTTATTTACTGCAAACAACAACCACAATACTGTTGACATTCCTATATTAATAAATGCCAACCCTCTCACTGAGAAGTCTTCCTTACATCTTCTTGGATGATTGTTTACATCTGACCTTTCATCAAAACCAAATATACAATTTATTGCTAAATTAGCATCTGCTAACGATGATTCTCTTTATCGTCCTGATTCCATACTCTACCTCTACAAATCTCTTATTCATCCCTGTAGGAAATACTGTTGTTATATATGGGCTAATTTTTCTAATGATGGTCTTTCTCTTCTAGACAAGGTCTAAAAAACGCATTGTAAACATAGTTGGACCCATTCTATCTGCTATGCTTGAGCCTTTTTCCAATCATCTTAAAGTTGCATCTCTTTCTCTTTTCTACAAACATTATCATAGTCGCTGCTCAAAAGAGCTATTATCTCTAGTGCCATTAACTAAAACCCATTCTCGTTTGATTCATCATTCAGCAAAGCCTCATTTGTTTACTGTATCTGTCCCTGCATGCTCTAAACTTTCAACCCTTTGGAACTCCTTCCCATTTTGATGTTTTCCTGACTAATATAACTTATAACTTTTCAAGTCTTCTGTCAACTGTTTCCTTGCTCTATAACTCATTCTTTTTTTTCTAGTAACTCCCAACTTAATACTGGTTGCTTGCAGCCTTGTTGGAAGTGAATCAGAAAAAAAAATCCTTTTTTCATTTAAAATCTATCATTATTACATTTTTAAGCAAAAATATCAATGCTGATAAAAGCCAGCTCGTTTTATAATGCAATGTAATGCTAATTAGTTTACTCTAAGTTGAATGCCGTTATAAAATGTAGCGCTTGTATATTTATAGTCATGTAAAGCACATGTAAACCAAATTTGATCCCCACCACCTCCTTGGTAGTACCACACTCAACTTGTTTCTCCTAGCAACAGCTTTTTTTGTCAAGGTTCTTGTTTTGGATTTAGAAAGTTGAAAGTGGGTTGTAACCACAATAAAGTAGCTTCCTCTGCTGCAGTGACCTTTATTACCTTGGGGAGGTGAATAACATTGAAAAATATGTGGTAAAATCCAGCATAAATAAACCTTTTAGGAAAAATTCCCCATGGGTTCATTGAAGCTAGCACGTCACTGATTTAAATAATTAAAATATTTATTTTTTAATATTAAAAACAAAGTAATAATACAATAACAATAAAATGACAGAAAAAGTCAATTGTCAAATAAAAATTGTTACACACAAAAAAAAAATTATACCACCCACTAATTAAAACATCTGTTAACTAGATGCAAAAGCATAAAAGGTTGTCCATGGGATGTTTTCAATATGATGGAAAAAATTTATAAAATTAAATTAAATCACCACATTTTTTTTTTTGGTCAATGTTGTTAGATTCAGTTTAATTAAGTTTTTTTTGTATGGTAGATGTTTAATTTCTAGTATTAACTTAGTTGCATGTCTCTGCATGTTTTTGAGGATATTAACATCATTTTTAAAGTAAGGACTCCATTTCAGGAACAACAAATTTGAGATGTAGTCTTACGTATGCACAATATAGCTTCTTGAAAGAACCACCAATTTTATTAATAGAAACACTGGTAATAATACCTACCAATGAGCTGTACATCTTAAAACCTTTCATGTTGGATCAACAGATTGCATTGTTCAACCCGGATCAGCATCATAAATTAAAAAGAATGAATGATTTTATCTCACTGTTTCACATAAAGGTTTTTGTACAAAGTTACATCTCAGTTATCGCACCAAAAGTTAATTGTCAGTACATTGCCAATAAGCAGTGGTTCCGTGATACAGACAAAAACGCTTCTGATGCAGCAACTCAGTCTTGCAACTGATACCTTTAATATTTAACTGAAGAGTTAATTGCCTTTGCAATTTTTGATGAGAACTTTTACCTATTGATCTGCTATGGCATTGAAGCACTATGGCACCCAAAGAAGAGAAGAAATGAAGCCTGGAAAACAGTCTACAGTCAGGAGATAAAAGATTACAACTATATGAAATGTTGTTAAGTACTGTCAAGTTGTGAATGACTGCACAGAGAGGTGCATAACTTATACAAGACTACAAAATAAAAGTCAAGGATCCTGCTTAGCTTCAAATACTATTTCAAATAGTGGAAGACCATTGCAAACAAGCTTCTCTTTAAGGACAAAAAGAAAATTTAATGAATTTGATTTCTTTTTTTTTTAGACAGTGCAAATTGTATCAATCTTACAATAACACAAGTTAAATTCCTTAAAACCATTTGACTATTTAATTCAAGGCCTTAAATTAAATTTTTTAAGTCAAATTTTTATACAATATAATTAAGATAATAAAGTATAAAAAGTTGAAGTTGTTACGGAATATATTTGTTAACATATTAAGCAAAAATAATTAAAAAAAGACAATAAAAAATAGATTTTTTTTTAACTTTTTCTATGTGGGGGATCCTAAAATTTTTATATTTTAAAAAAAAACTTGGTACATATAATTTTTTTCTTAGTCTAAACTTTAATTTAAAAGTTGACGTGATATTTCTAAAATTTTGCGGGAATGGGACACCCTAATGTACATCTTATTGATAATTTTTGGAAAAAACTATACAAACCAGCTACTTTCCTGTGTATAACAGTTTTTGCTAGTACAAGGTCATATAAAGTCTCTCAACAGCTTATAAGATTTTCAAACCAATACTATAAACAGTAACATAATGAAAATAAATTTATGAGATATTAAAAGCAAAAGTTTATTGATAAAAATGAGGTTTATTGATTAAAAGTTTCATTGATGATTCATTGATGTAGTCATAACCTGTGTTACATTTTTTCCTGCCTAGGATGATGAATGCTGGATCTCCTTGACTCTACTCATAGAATTTTGCTTATGCCTCCTTGATAATGGCTATGCAACTCTTCCTGTTATCTCTATATGAGGGTACAGCTCTAAAACTCAGTTTAATGGTTCTGAGGCCGACTGGTAGTAAGGTTTCCCAAACTCTGTGATAGCTCTCAGAGAGGCTGATTCCATCAACAGCTGCAAAATATCAGAGTATTAACAGTGCCATGTTGCGCATGGATGGTGTCCCTGTTAATGCATTTGGTGTGCATTGTCAAGGCCACATAAGGAGCCCTATGTCACGGCTTAGGGTTAATTAACAGGACTGAGACAACTGCATAGCTCATTGATTAGGAGGCTGTGCTCTATCTATGAATGAGCCAAGTTCTCATTAAAACCAAATCATGACCAAAGTAACCAAAAATTTAAAACTTAAAAAACCATCCCCACCACCTAAATGTTTTAATATATCTTTTACAAATATTCACGGTCTATGAAGCAACTTTTCGTCAGTTGAGTCTTACCTCCTGCAAAATTCACCAGACTTGCTTGCACTCAGTGAAACAAATTTAAATTCTGCAATTCCTTCTTCAGATGTCAGTGTTGATGGGTACTATCCTTTGATTCGTAAAGACTCCAATAGTCACATGCTAGGTTTAGGGGTATACATACGCATTAATTCCCCTATTTGTCGTGAAATCAGGTTCGAATCCTTTGACCATTCTTTTATGTGCTTTCGCCTAGCACCTCTTCACTCTATCACCTTTCTCTTTGTTCTTTATCGTTCTCCTTCTTCCCATGATTGCACTCTCTTAGATGTTATCTCTGATCAAATTGACCATGCCCTCTCTCTTTACCCTCTGCCAATATTGTTGTTGTTGGTGATTTTAATGCCCATCACACTGAATGGCTTGGCTCTAACACCACTGATCCTGCTGGCACTAAAGTCTTTAACTTTTGCGTTTCTCAATCTCTTACTCAGATAGTTAACTTTGTGACTCATTTTCCTGACAACCCTAATCATTTACCTTCACTCCTTGACTTATGTCTTGTCTCTGACCCTAGCTTATGTTCAGTTTCTCCTTTTTCTCCCTTAGGTGGTTCTGACCATGCAATGATCTCTATAAATCTTTCTTCTCGTACTTCTTTTTTGGGCTCACCTTATCATCGCACCACCTACTACTACCCTAAAGCTGACTGGGATTCCTATTGAGATTTTCTTCGTGATGGTCCTTGGGCTGATGTTTTTTCTCTCTCAGCTGACAAATGCGCCTCCTACGTAACCTCCTGGATTTAGGCTGGAATGGAAGCTTTTATTCATTCGCGTCAGTTTTAAGTCAAGCCTCATTCTACTCCATGGTTTTCTCCTTCTTGTGCGGCTGCTATATCCAATCGTAATCATTTTTTTCATCTTTTTCAAAAGAATGACTCTCTTGAGAACAAACGGCTATTTATTATTGCAAGAAATCGATGTAAAAAGGTGCTTTCTGATGCTAAACTCCATTATTCTCAGTTTACTAAATCTCGCATTTTATTGCAGAAGTTAGGCTCTAAAGACTTTTGGGAAATCTTCAACAGCATTATTAACAAGGGTAGATCTAACATTCCATCTCTCATTCATGGGACTGATCTTATTACCTCTCCCAAGGATAAGGCAGAACTGTTTGCAAAGAACTTTTCTTCTAATTCCACTCTTGAATCTAATGGACATTCTCTTCCTTCCATTCCAGTCAAACAGGTTGACCCATTGTTAGACATTCAAATCACTCTGGCTTCTGTTGCTAAAGTCATATCTCAATTAAACTCATCAACAGCTTGTGGTCCAGACAACATTCCTGTCACAGTCTTGCAGAATTGTTCTCATGGGAAAGTTTTCTTTCTTTCCATTCTTTCTGGGAAAGTTTTTGAAATTATCAAATCATTTCTTTCTAACCGGTTTATTAAAGTCATCCTTTAAGGCCAACAGTCTTTTTTAATTCCAGTAACTTCTGGGGTTCCCCAAGGTTCCATCCTGGGCCCTGTTATGTTTCTTATCTACATAAACGATTTTCCTGACAACCTTTCATCTAAAGTAGCTCTTTTTGCTGATGACTCAACTTTATACTCCTGTCTTGGCAAAAAGTCTTCTCTTTTCGATCACCTAGAACAAGCAGCTGATCTTGAATCCAATCTCACTTCAGTAATAGATTGGGGCTCACAGTGGCTTGTGAATTTCAACTCTAACAAAACCCAGTTGTTTACTGCAAACAACTACCGTAATATGGTCATCATTCCTATATTAATGAATGGCAATCATCTTACTGAGTCCTCCTCTTTACGTCTTCTTGGATTATCGCTTACTACTGACCTTTCATGGAAACCATATATACAATTGATTGCTAAATTAGCTTCCGCTAAGGTTGCTTCTCTTTATCGTGCTCGCCATTTCCTTACTTCTGATTACATTCTCTACCTATACAAATCTCTTATTTGTCCCAGTATGGAATACTGTTGTCATATTTGGGCTGGTTCTTCTAACGATTCACTTTCTCTTCTTGACAAGGTCCAAAAACGCATTGTAAATGTTGTTGGACCTGGACTATCAGCTAAGCTTGAACCTCTTTCCCATCGTCGTAA